CGGGACCGGGCGGAGGGAGGGGGGGACCGGACACCGGGATGGGGAGCGGGGAACCGGAGGGAGGGAGGACCGGAGTGGGTGTGGAGAGAGCCAGGGAGGCAGCAGGTGGGGGGATTGGGCTCTGGGGGTGTGAAGGGACACTGGGGACACTGTGGAGCGGTCACGGTGCGATCGGGATGTCCCGGGCTGTCCCGGGGTGTCCCGGGTGTCCTGGGATGTCCCGGGCTGTCCCGGTGTGTCCCGGTGTGTCCCGGGGTGTCCCGGGTGTCCCAGGTGTCCTGGGATGTCCAGGGCTGTCCCGATGTGTCCCGGGCTGTCCCGGTGTGTCCCGAGATGTCCCGGGCTGTCCCGGAGGACACCAGCGGGAGCGGGGACAGGACCGTGGATGTGCAGAGCAGTTGGGGTGTCCTGTGAGCTGTGGGGTGTGGGGGTAACCGGGAGGAGAGGGATGGGGAATGGGGTGTCTGGGGGGATTCCGGGCCCGGGGGTCACCAGGACTGACCCTGGGTGTCCCCAGCTCAGCTCTGGGCAGAGTTTGGGGACACTGGAGGGAGCTGGGGCTGGAGGGGGCGTCATCCTCGTGCTTTTGGGGTCCTTGTGCCCCCCTTGTTAACACTCTCCCGCCCCCACAGTGCGCTACGGGCGCTTCGACCCCGAGGACCAGCGCAGCCGGCACTGCCCCTACCTGGACACCATCAACAAGTGAGTTACGGGAGTGTTTTGGGGCTCCCCTGGCTCCCCCACAGCCCTGTGACTCTGCTCTCCCCCCCAGGAGTGTCCTGGACTTCGATTTCGAGAAGCTCTGCTCCATCTCCCTGTCCCACATCAACGTCTACGCCTGCCTCGTCTGCGGGAAGTACTTCCAGGGTAAGGCTTCCCCCAGGGCTGCCCTGGGGCACTCGGGGACAGGGGTACAAAGAGGATGCCTGGGAGGGACACCCTGGGGACACCGAGGGACAGGGTGGCTGTTGGAGCTCGGGGACCCTCTCTGTGTGTGCTTGGGGGGGTCCCTTCTGTGCCCCTCCCTGTCCCCACGGCTGCACAGGGACTCTGTGCCCATCCCTGCTGCTCTGTGTCCCCCTGACGGCGCTGTCCCCGCAGGCCGTGGCCTCAAGTCCCACGCCTACATCCACAGCGTGCAGCTGAGCCACCACGTGTTCCTCAACCTGCACACGCTCAAGTTCTACTGCCTGCCCGACAACTACGAGATCATCGACTCCTCGCTCGAGGACATCACGGTGCGGGGCGCCTCTGGGGGTCCCCAGCTCTGAGGGGTTTGGGGTCCCCAGCTCTGAGGGGTTTGGGGTCCCCAGCTCTGAGGGGTTTGGGTTGGGGTCCCCCAGCTCTGAGGGGTTTGGGGTCCCCAGCTCTGAGGGGTTTGGGGTCCCCAGCTCTGAGGGGTTTGGGTTGGGGTCCCCAGCTCTGAGGGGTTTGGGGTCCCCAGCTCTGAGGGGTTTGGGTTGGGGTCCCCAGCTCTGAGGGGTTTGGGGTCCCCAGCTCTGAGGGGTTTGGGTTGGGGTCCCCAGCTCTGAGGGGTTTGGGGTCCCCAGCTCTGAGGGGTTTGGGTTGGGGTCCCCCAGCTCTGAGGGGTCTCTCTCTCCCCCGCAGTACGTTCTCAAGCCCACCTTCACGGCCCAGCACATCGCCCACCTGGACAAGCAGGCCAAGCTGTCCAGGGCCTACGATGGCACCACGTACCTGCCTGGCATCGTGGGGCTCAACAACATCAAGGCCAACGACTACGCCAACGCTGTCCTCCAGGTGACACCAGGGTTAAAGGCTTCATTCTGGGGTGAAACCCTCCCAAAATCCTGCTGTGGGGGTCTCAGGGATGGGTCCCATCTCTTGTCCCACGGCATGTGCTCCTTGGGGATGCTGCCTTCATTTTGGGCTGAATCTCCTCTGAAATCCTTCTACAGTCCCACTCTGAGGGTCCTGAGGGTGTAATCTCACCTTCTCTTCCACACCTGGGGGGTGCAGGTGGCCTTTTAGGGTGAAAGCCCCCCCATAACCCACCCCAAACCCCCTCTGTGGGGCTGTCAGGGATCAACCCCATCTCTGGATCCTTTCCAGCTCAGACTGTTCTGAGATTTCCCACAGGTTCCACTCCCATGGCAGCGCAGGGTTTGCAGAAGTGCCCCCAAACCCTCCCAGCTCACCCCTCTGGGGGTCCTGGGGCTGAACCCCCCCCGCTCTGTCCTCAGGCCCTGTCTAACGTGCCGCCCCTGCGGAATTACTTCCTGGAGGAGGAGAACTACCGGCGCATCCAGCGCCCGCCTGGGGACATCATGTTCCTGCTGGTGCAGCGCTTTGGGGAGCTCATGAGGAAGCTGTGGAACCCCCGCAACTTCAAGGCACACGTGTCCCCCCATGAGATGCTCCAGGCCGTGGTGCTCTGCAGCAAGAAGAACTTCCAGATCACCAAGCAGGGTGGGCTTTGGGGGGACAGGGCAGAACTGGGTTTGAGGGGAAGAGCTGGAGCGGGATTTGGGGGCGCAGGGCTGGGTTTGGGAGGCAGCACTGGCTCTGGGGGCTCTGGATTCGGGGGGCAGAGCAGGATCCGGGCTCAGCTCCAGCTCTGCTGTTCCAGGGGATGGGGTGGAGTTCCTGTCCTGGTTCCTGAACGCGCTGCACGCGGCTCTGGGCGGCACCAAGAGGAAGAAGAAGAGTGAGTGGGGGGAGGTTCTGGGGGGGCTCTCGGGGGCTGTTGTCCCCCTGCTGAGCCCCTGCTGTCCCCACAGCCATTGTCACCGACGTGTTCCAGGGCTCCATGCGCATCTTCACCAAGAAGCTGCCACACCCTGACCTGGTGGGACTGGGGGGAATGGGGGGTACTGAGATGCACTGGGGGATGTTGGGGTCCAGGGAGGGGTGTCAGGGTATGCTGGGTGGTGATGAGTGTTGGGATGCAGCGTGGGGTGCCAGTGTCCAGTGGGATCCTGTGGGGAGAGTTGGGGAACTGGGGGAGTTGGGGTGCAATGGGAATGGCAGGGTAAAATAAAAAAGGGGTGTCACGGTCCAGAGGGGGAGTGTTGGGGTCAGATGAGGGGTGGTGGGGTCCAGTGGGGGATGATGGGTGCAGTGGGGGATGATGGGTGCAGTGGGGGATGATGGGTGCAGTGGGGGATGATGTCTCCAGTGGGGGATGATGGCTCCAGTGGGGATGATGGCTCCAGTGGGGGATGATGGCTCCAGTGGGGGATGATGTCTCCAGTGGGGGATGATGTCTCCAGTGGGGATGATGTCTCCAGTGGGGGATGATGTCTCCAGTGGGGGATGATGTCTCCAGTGGGGGATGATGGCTCCAGTGGGGGATGATGGCTCCAGCGGGGTGTGATGTGTCCAGCGGGGCTGACGGGTCCAACCCAACGGGGATGTCCCGTGGGTGCCCCACAGCCAGCAGAGGAGAAGGCGCAGCTGCTGCAGAACAGCGAGTACCAGGAGCGCATGGTGGAGTCCACCTTCCTGTACCTGACCCTGGACCTGCCCACGGCGCCGCTCTACAAGGACGAGAAGGAGCAGCTCATCATCCCCCAGGTGCCCCTGTTCAGCATCCTGGCCAAGTTCAACGGCAGCACCGAGAAGGAGTACAAGACCTACAAGGAGAACTTCCTGAAGCGTTTCCAGCTGACACGCCTGCCCCCCTACCTCATCTTCTGCATCAAGCGCTTCACCAAGAACAACTTCTTCGTGGAGAAGAACCCCACCATCGTCAACTTCCCCATCACGTGAGCCATGGGCGGGGGGCCTGGGGGGCTGGGAGCTTGTGGAGGGGCATCTAAAAGGAGATGGGGGTATCTGAGGGGGTTGAAAGCGTCTGGAGGGGGTTGTAAATGTCTTTGGAAGCACCTGGGTCGGGGGATTAGAAGTGTCCAGAGATTTGAAGGTATCTAGGGTGGTGTGTGGGCATCTGGGGTGGGATTTTGGCATCCAGGAGGGCTTTGAGTGGTTTATAGGCATCAAAAAGGGGTTTGAGGGCACTTGGGGAGCGTTTCTGGGCATCTGTGGGGGTGTTGGGGCGTTCATAACACCTGGGAGGGGGACGTAGATACCTGAGGGGGTGATGTGGGCATCTGGGGGGGCCTGCAGCAGTCCAGGAGGGACCTGGAAGCAGCTTGGAGGTGTTGTGGGGGTGCTGTGGGGGTCCCCTGCGGGCAGTGCCCCCCTGAGGGTGCGGGGGGTCCCCAGGAACGTGGACCTGCGGGAATACCTGTCGGAGGAGGTGCAGGCTGCGCACTCCCACACCACCTACGACCTCATCGCCAACATCGTGCACGACGGGAAGCCCTCAGAGGGCTCCTACCGCATCCACGTCCTGCACCACGTGAGTGTCCCCTCCTCAGGGGGCTGGGGGGGCCACGGGGACCCCCCTGAGTCACCCTGTCCCGGGTCCTGGCAGGGCACAGGCAAGTGGTACGAGCTGCAGGACCTGCAGGTGACCGACATCCTGCCCCAGATGATCACCCTGTCTGAGGCCTACATCCAGGTGAGGGGACAAGGGGACAGTGGTACCCCCAGAACGTCTCCTGTGCCCCCCCCAACCCCCTCTTGCTCTCCTGCAGATCTGGAAGCGACGCGAGGAGGACGAGACAAACCAACAAGGCGCCTGAGACCCTTGGGGACACCCAGAAACCCCCTTGGGGACACCCCCAGCTGCCCCTCGGGGGTATCCCCATCCCCCTGCGGATACCCTGAGCACCCCAAGATCCCTCATAGACACCCAGAGACTTGTAGGGACACCCACAGCCCACCTGTGACACCTCCATCCTCCCTGGGGTCACCCAGAGGGCTCCAGGGGAGCACCCAGAGCCCCCCTGGGGACACCTGCAGCCACCCCTGGAGGTGTGTGTGTTCCAGTAAATGCCACCCACTATTTTTGTAACTCATTTTCACCTTGTCTCTTCTTTGGGTTTGGGGGGGTTTGTGGTTTCTGCTGCTTCCCGTGACCCCCCAGCCCCCATCACACCCCAAAACACCCCAAAACACCCCAAAACACTGAGGTGCATCCAGACTTTATTGTGCAATGCTGGGGGGTCCTGGTGCCCCCCTACAGCCAGACGTGCTCCTGGCAGTGCTGCAGGGCCTGCAAGGGGCAGAAGGGTCATTTGGGGGGTGCAGGGGTGGGAGTCCCCCCGTCCCTGTGTCCCCTGTGTCCCCCCTGTGTCCCCCGTGTCCCCCCTGTGTCCCCCCCGTGTCCCTGTGTCCCCCGTGTCCCCTCCGTGTCCCCTGTGTCCCCTGTATCCCCCCTGTGTCCCCTGTATCCTCTCTGTGTCCCCCCCGTGTCCCCTCTGTGTCCCCCGTGTCCCCCCTGTCCCTGTATCCCGTGTCCCCGTGTCCCTGTGTCCCCCGTGTCCCCCTGTCCCTGTATCCCCCGTGTCCCTGTGTCCCCCGTGTCCCCTCCGTGTCCCCCGTGTCCCCTCTGTATCCCCCCTGTGTCCCCCCTGACCTGGCAGCGCCGGGCGGCCTCCGGGCCCGAGCACCAGAAGATGGGGCCCAGGGCACAGGGGCCCAGGGGCAGGGACAGCGCAGGGACACCGACACCTTTGGGGTCCTGTGGGGGGGACACAGCAATGAGGGGTCCCCCCAAGGGTGGGGACCCCCCAAAGCTCCCTCCCCGGGGCCGTGCGGATTCTGGCACTGTCCTCTTGAGGGGGGGCGGCACTCCCCGGGGACATCGCTGTGTCCCCAGGGGTGACGGGGCTGTGACACCCCGGGACGTGTCCCCTCAGTGTTGTGTAACCCTGGGGTGCCCCGTCACCTCCTGGGGACCCCAGCGTGTCCCCCTGGTGTTCCCCCCTCACCTCCTCGCTGACACACTCCGCCAGCCGCACCACGACGGTCTCCAGCATCCGGGGCGGTGGCAGCGTCCCCACGTCCTTGTCCCAGCTGTCCCCGCTGCGGCAGGCGAGGAGCAGGCGGCAGAGCAGGCGGGGTCCCAGGCGGCCCAGCAGCCCCTCCAGGGCCAGCGCCGCGTAGCGCTCGGCCAGGCACTGGCACGCCCCGGCCACCGGCAGCGGCAGCGCCCGGCACAGCCCGGCCACCGCCGCGGCCACCGAGCCCACCGGGACAGCGGCCTCAGCCCGTGCCACCAGCGAGCGGCACAGCCAGCACAGCGGCAGCGGCAGCGGCAGCGCCTCCGGGGCCAGCCCGGAGCCCTGCGGGAGGGGGGACACTGCTCTGGGTGCTGGGGACACTGCCCTGGGTGCTGGGGACACTGTTCTGGGTGCTGGGGACACTGCTCTGGGTGCTGGGGACACTGTTCTGGGTGCTGGGGACACTGCTCTGGGTGCTGGGGACACTGTTCTGGGTGCTGGGGACACTGCTCTGGGTGCTGGGGACACTGCTCTGGGTTATGGGGACACTGCCCTGGGTTATGGGGACACTGCTCTGGGTTCTGGGGACACCGCGTGGCTGTGCCCCCCAGCACCGTGGTGGCAGTGCCGATGCCACAGGGCCACCGCCACCAACCCCCTCGCTGTCCCCAGGTCCCCGTACCTGCGGGTGGGTGCCGGGCGCCTCAGGGACGGGCACGGCCAGGGCGGCCCCGGGCTCTCCGCGACACAGCCTGAGTGTGGCACAGACCTGCCAGGGCTTCTGCAGGGAGCAGAGGGTGACCCGGCTGTCCCCAAGGCCCCAGCACCCCGGGGTGTCCCTGGGTGCTGGATGTGCCTGCTGCCCCCAGCAGCCTGCATGTCCCCGGGGGCCACAGCTCCCTCAGACCCCCTTGCCGTGTGCCCCTGCTGCCACTCACAAGGTGCTGGATCTGCCAGAGGTGATGGACCAGAGCCTGAACCAGGGCCTGGCACGGGGTCACCACGACAGGGAGATACAGGCACGGAATGCCCATCACCTGATCTAGAGCCACCTGCGGCAGGGCAGCGACAGTGACAGCCGCAGTGACAGCCGCAGTGACAGCCACCACTACCGTACCAACCAGCACAAACCACACCTGTCACCGCTGCTGCCCATGGGGGTTTCTGTGGCCATGGCACCTGTGGTGGCACCCTCAGTGGCTGCCACCACCTCACGAGCCACAGTGGCACTCCCAGTGGCACCTCCCTGGCACCCACCATGACACCCACAGTGGCCCCTGGCCCCCATCCCCACGGGCACCTCCGGGGCCGATCGGTTGGAGGCCTGGCGGAGGAAGGTGAAGAGCTGCAGGCACGAGGCACAGACGTCCTGCAGGAGAGGACAGCGGGGACATGAGGGACATGGGGACACAGGAACGGGGGACACTGGGGAATGGCAAGAGGGGAGGACGTGGGGATGTTGTGGCACAGGGATGTTGGGAGGTGGGACATGGGAACGAGGGAATGGGGACATGGGGACATGGGGACATGTGGACAGGTTGGGGTGGGGCCATGATGGGAGTACTGGGACCCCAGTGGAGTTCTGGGGACATAGAGGTGGCACAGGGACAGAGGGATGGGTGGAGGGGTGTTAGAGGGGTGACGGGGACACGGGGATGTCTCTCACCATGTTGGGATGTCCCTGGGTGAGGTGGGGGCAGCGCCCCAGGGCCCCACAGCGCAGCGCCGTCACCCAGTCCTGGCACCAGGCGGTGGGGGGCACCCCACAGCCCCCCCCCGGGGCCCCCAAACCTGTGGCCACTGTCAGCACCCAGCCAGGGGGACCTGGCAATCCAGGATCCCCCCAGTACACCCCCCCCAAGTCACCCCATCCCAACACCAGCCCTCTGGGGGGACCCCTCAAGGAACCCTCCCACTCCAGTACCCCGTCCCGGGGGTCCCTGGCACCGTGACCCCACCTCTAAACACACACCACCCCCAAAACTCCACTCCTGCTGTCATGGGGGGACCCAGGTGGAAGGGATCCCCCCATTACACCACCTGAGACCCCTCCCTCATGGGGGCAGCCCCCCAGTGACACCCCCCCATGCCCCATCCTGGCCCCCAGAGGGTCCCAGGGGTCTGGACCCCCACCCAAGGGCCCCATCCATCCCCCCTTGCCCAGGCAGGTGCCCCCGTCCCAGGGTCCTTGAGGGGGACCCAGCTCTGGGGGTGCCCCCAGGGGCGGGGGTCGTACCTGGGGTGGTCCCAAGGAGGGCGAGGAGCAGCAGCAGCGCCGGGGCCATGGCGGGGACAGGACCGAGGACGGGAGCAGCGGCCGGGCGGTGCTGGCAGGGCCGAGCCTGCGGGCTCTTAAAGCCCCGCGGGAGGGATGTGGCCGCTGGGACTGTGCCAGTGCACAGGGACAGGTGTGTCACAGCCCCGGGGACACGGCCAGCCCTGCCCCTCCACTCTGCTGCTGGCCCCACGCCCCGGTGTCCCCACAGGCACGTCCTGGTTGGGGTCCCCATTCAAGGGCCCCTTGTCCCCAGCAGGGATCTCTTTTAATGTCTCCGTGTCCCTGCTCAGTCCCCATTGCTGTCCCTGTGTTCCCTGTTGGGGCCCCATGTCCCCACTGGGGTCCCATGTCCCCACACCCCCTTGTTCCCTACACTTTGCCCTGTCCCCAATCTCCCCTCAGCCCCCCATGTCCCCTCCCCTCTGCCATGCCCCCACATCCCCACGTCCCCTTTGTGTCACCACAGTCCCACACCCCAAAATTCCCCCCATGTCCCTCCAATCCCCCCCAGCCCCCTGTGTCCCCCTGTCCCTTCCCGTCCCCGTGTTCCCCCAACCTGCCATGGCCCTTCAAAACCCCCAATGTCCCCAAACCCTCACGTTCCTGTTTCTCCCATGTCCCCTCTCCCGTGTCAGTGTGTCCCCCTCCGTGCCCTCCCGCTCATGTCCCGTGTCCCTCACAGTCCCCAAAGTCCCCGTGCCCCCCCTGTCCTGCCCCCCCTGTCCTTCCCCCCGCTCCTGTTCCCGTCATGTCCCTCCCTGGTCACCAGCCTGACCCCACTTACCTGGAGAGTGCTCAGCGCGGGTGTGGCCGGCGGGCAGGGCCCCACGGGCCCCAGGTGAGGCTCTGCGGTGGCTCCCAGGGTGGCACAGCCCCACACTGCGCCCTCTGTCACCCTGTGCCACCCTGGGCTGCCCCGTCCTCGTCCCCCTGAGCGTCCCACATCGTCCTGTGCCCCCGTGAGTGCCCCAAATCCCAGTGCCACCGTGTGTGCCCCAAATCCCTGTGCCCCCGTGTGTGCCCCAAATCCCAGTGCCACCGTGTGTGCCACCCTGTGTGCCCCAAATCCCCGTGTGTGTCACCATGTGCCACCCTGTGTGCCACAGTGTGCACCCCAAATCCCCGTGTCACACCCCATGTGCCCCAGGCTCCGGTGCCACCCTGCACTTCCCAGAGCTCCGGTGTCCCCTGGGGCAGCTCTGGGGACACAGCCCAGGGACAGGACGAGGGACAAAGCCCCAGCCCAGGGACAGGACGAGGGACAAAGCCCCAGCCCAGGGGGGACCTCCTCACCCTGCACAGGTCCCCGCAGGAGCGTGGATCTCCAGCCCCACCATCCCCTTCCTGCTCCCTCCCCACGGCAATTCCAGCTCCTGCCTCTCTTTCATAACGAAATAATTTATTTCCTAACAATCAAACAAGACAGAAATATCCATGGACACAGCAAAGATCTCCTAAAACACGGAATTCCTAAAAAAAAGCACCATTCTATTGGCTTGACACGGGGTTCAGCCCAACAATGGGATATTTACAGCAGGAACGGCTGGAAATGGGATCCGAGTCCGCTCCCAACTGCCCAGCGGAGCCAATGCTGGGGTGGATCCACTTCTTGGGAAGCAAAAAGAACAGAAAAAAAATGATGGAAAAGCACAAAAAAGAGGTGTACCAAAGAATGATAAAGGAAAGGTTGAGTGGAGATGGGATGGCTCCACTGGAAAAATTCGGGGTGAAACATTTTGGTGCTTCCCGGGAGCTGGCGGTTGGGGATCTGCCTTCCAAAAGGAAAAAGAAAGGAAAAACAGCCCAAAATTGGGTATTTTTGATTCCCACCCGTCCGTGCCCCAATCCGACTCCCCGCACTCCCTGGATTTTTGTCACAACCTATAAAAAAGTCCTTCCTGCAGCTTATTTGATAGGAATGCTGGTGGATCAGTGAATTGCAGGTAAGGCTGGCACCACCACTGGGGACCCGGGGATTCCGGGTTAGTGCAGAGTTCTGGGGTTCCCGGAGCACAGCCCGACAGTGCAAAGGGGTCAGTCTGGGATAGGAAGGGAAAAAAGGGGGAAAAAAAGGCATTGGGAACTCAAAAAGGCACAAAGCTGCCAAAACCCCTCATTTGTGCTGAGGCCAAACCTCCAGAATGTTCAAAGCCAACCAAAACTCAACGCTTTGCACCTCTGGAAGGGCCTTCCCAGTGCTGGGAATCTCCTGCCCAGAGGGTTCCGCTGGGATTCCCCAGGTGAAGGCAGAAGCCACCTGAGCCACCGGGCTGATATTCCTCTTTTTCTCAGTGTTTTCCATCTTTTTGCCTTTTTTTCCCTCTTTTTGACCATGCAGGGGGTTGAGCTCAGGTACCCCTGGTCTGTGGCAATGCCAGAGGGTGGAAAATTCCAGCAGCTTGAAAGGAAAATTCCTTGTGGTTTGGGTTTTTTTGTTTTTTTTTTTTTTTCTCTTAGGAGACAGCAAATGGAAAAAGACAGAATCTGGGGGATTTGGGCAACTTGTGGGGTCTGTGGGTGGCTTCCCACTTCCCTAAGTGAGCCAGGAATGGCATTGGGGTGTTGAAAGGAGAAAGGGGGAAAGGGGAACAGTAAAGGAGAAAAGAAGGAAAGGAAAGGAAAAGCAGGAAAGGAGGAGAAGGAGAAAAGGGAAACAGGAAAAGGGGAAAGGACAAAGGAAAAGAAAAAGCACTGGAGTCTCCTGCTGCTCATCCCCTTGTACTCCATGGAGCATCTCGATGCCTTTCAGCACTGGCGATTCCTGAAAGGGACTGGCAGAGGGTCAGGGTTTGTATCCCAGAGCTGGGAAAAGCCCTGGAGAGCTCCTTGCCGACTCCTCACCAGGGTCTGGCCGGATCCACGGGGCTGGAAAAGCCCTTGGAGCACTCCAGGGGAAAAGGAAAGTGCTGGAAGCAGAGCTCTCTACATGTCAACATTCCCAGAGCATCTCCAGGAGCAGGAAGTGGTGGGGATGCTCCCTCCAGTGCATCGGGAAACGAACCCACACCACTGGCAGCCGACGCGTGCTCTGGCTCAGAACCCCCCTGACCCCCGGGGCTTCCCTCCCTGTGGTGGCTTCTGGAATCCTCCGCGAGCCTGGAAAAATCCCGGATGGATGGACACGATCCGGGGAGTCCCGTGGGGTTATTGCTGAGCAGAGGCATCATCTTTGTGCTGAAGGGGTGGAGAGAGTCCGTGGGCTCCCTCCGAGGTAGAAAAAATTGTCCCCGAGACTAGAAGCGTGGAAAAGGAATTCCAGGGCTCTGGAATGCCGCGCCACAAAGGGAGCTGGGACGTCCCTTTCGGGTTTAGGGAGGGCAGAAACTTCCCAGCCCGGAGGTGGCCGACCCGAGGGGCGAGGATGGCTCTGAGCGCTGCTCCCCACGCCAGGAACGCTCCGGGACGACAGGAGGGCTGGGATGGGGTGTCCCTGAATATTTAGAGTCGGGGGAAGGAACCCCCGACTGAGGCTGATCCCTGTGCCCAAAATGCTCTGTGTTCCCAGCCTGGCTCCGCTCCGTCACGGATGGAAACTCCACAAAGGACCGGGTCTCTCTTCGGATCTGCTCCCAGAAACTCAGCTTCTTCAGTCCTGAGGATTAGGAACACGATGTCGCCACCCAAGCGTAGAGAAGATCGGGAATAGCGGGCAGTGACAGCCTGGGAAGGAGCCCGGGGAAGGCTCCTGAGGTTGCTGTTAGTGCCAGGATATTCCCGGGCGCTTCAGGCGTGGCTGGAATGTCGGGCCTGGCGGAGAAGGCTCGGCCAGAGAGGCTGGCGGTGCAGACGGAGCCCCGGGAGCGGCTGGAGCTGTGCGATGTTCGGTATTTCCGTGCAGGGAATGCTGGCAGGGTCGGTGTGCTGGCTAACGGGATCCCAAGGGGACGGCGGCCGCGGGAACAGCTCCCTATATCCCGACGGGAAGCTTACGGCTGCCGGCCAGCCTGGCCCTGGTCCCGCCGGAGCTGGAATATCCCTCGTCGCTGCCCAGGCTCTGGAGGCTCCCGCGCTCGTCCGAGTCGCTGGGGCTGCTGCTGCTCCAGTCCAGGTCGGCGGGGAGGTCGTCCGTGCTCTCCACATCCACATCCATCTCTTCTGCCGGAGGAACGGCAAGGGTTGGAGTTCCAACACGGCCAGGCCTCCCGCCGGCCGCGCCCCGGCACGGGCTCTCACCTCGATCCGAGTCGGAGCGCTCGGAGGAAAGGCTGGAGCCGATGCTGTCGATCCTGACCCGCTCCATGCCCAGCTTCTCCAGCTGCCGCTGCAGGTGCCGCTGCTCCCGCTGCAGCTGCTCCATCTGGTGCAGGGCCCGGCGCTCCTGGTCCTCCAGCTTCTGTGGGGGGACACGGCACCTGAGCTCCGGGATTCCCTCAGAACCACGGGAACCACACAGCATTCCCGGCACCTGAGCTCCGGGATTCCCTCGGAACCACGGGAACCACACAGCATTCCCAGCACCCTGAGCTCTGGGATTCCCTCGGAACCACGGGAACCACACAGCATTCCCGGCACCTGAGCTCTGGGATTCCCTCAGAACCACACAGCATTCCCGGCACCTGAGCTCCGGGATTCCCTCAGAACCACACAGCATTCCCGGCACCTGAGCTCTGGGATTCCCTCGGAACCACGGGAACCACACGGCATTCCCGGCACCCTGAGCTCTGGGATTCCCTCAGAACCACACAGCATTCCCAGCACCTGAGCTCTGGGATTCCCTCAGAACCACACGGCATTCCCAGCACCCTGAGCTCTGGGATTCCCTCAGAACCACACGGCATTCCCAGCCCAAACCACCCCAGCACAGCCACCGCCGGCTCCCGAGGGGCTCCCGTCTTCAGCACGCTTGGGATGTGGAGCTGTATGGATTTCAACTCTCCCAGTCATCCCAGCCCAATCCCAGCCCTCTCCCAGTTACCCCAGCCCATGCCCCGTACTGGATGCTGCTCTCAGCTCCGATCCCAGTGCCAGATCCCATTTCTGGGCTCACCTGGATGTGGAGCCTGGCCCTGGTGAGGAGGCTGAGTGTCGTGTGCCGCCCGGCCGCAGCCCCCAGTGGCACCAGCCCCTTCAGCCTCTCCAGGCACAGCCGGAGCTGGGCACGCCTGGAACGGGAGCACACAGCTGCATCAGCTTCCCAAATGGCATTCCCACCCCTCTGGTGTGGAAAAATGGGGTGGCAGGAGCTAAACCCAACCAGGAGCCTTCCCAGCCTCCATGGGCTTCCAGAAACCGGGAGAAAACTGCAGCCAGGCAAAAAGATGCCTTGGGAAAACCTCATGGATGAACCCTGCTGGCATCCCGGGCTGTTGGGATGATCCCAGGCAACGACCTCAGAATTCTGGCTGAGAATATCAACTTTTGGTCATTCTCTTCCCCAAAAGGTTCCATCTCAGGAGCGCTGTTTGGTTCCTGCTGACAGCTGAAGCTGCCCAGGAAAACACCCAGCTCCAAATCCCTTGGGAGTGCTCCCTTTCCCTATTTTTAGTAGGAACAGGATTGTTTTGGATACAAAACCCCAAATCCCTGCAGGAGCACCGGCCGTGCTCCAGGAATCCTCCCTCTTCCTGTAACATCTGGGTTTTCTCTGCTTTAACAGGTGGGACATTAATGCTGGAGGGAAACTCCTCGAGGAAATCCCTTTATCTGCCGAAAGCAGGGATGCTCCCAGCACATCCAGGTTTCCCTGTGTCCATCACTCCAATCCCAACATGTAGGTCAGATCCTTGGGAACGCGCTGTAACCACATCCCTGCACCGCCTGATCCCAGGCAGCTCCAAACGGATTTTGCAATGACCTGCTGGTCTTGTTTGGGATATGCTGGGAGTGACCTGGGATTTCCTCACCCAAAGGACCTTGGGATGACAACACAGGCAAAAAAAGTGGGATTTACTCGGGATAAATCCCAAACTGCAACTGGCTCAAAGATGTGAAAAGGTAATTTTCCTGAACAAGCAGAGTGGGAGCTGGCTGTGGAGATGGGATATCATTCCCAACAAAACTCATGTGTAAAAAGGGAATGCTTTAATCCTTGACGTCCTTTATCCCATTCCTTCCCTCCCACTCTCCCTCTCAACCCATCTCAGGTGGAATAGCCCTGGAAAAGCAGTAATTCCCCCCAGCCCAGCTCCTGACAACCCTCTGGCACTCACCTGTTCTTTTCCATCTCATTGTGCGTCGACCTGGAAAAGAAGGAAGAAGTTATTAATTCCTCTGGCTGATTAGGGATTAACAGTTGGGATTAACATATGGGAATTAGCAAAGGCTCCCTGGAAAATCTGCAAACCCAGGGGGCTTCCAGAGCTCCGTACCCAGGGATGGGGAATGGCAGGATGCAGACACAGAGACTGCTGGATAAGCGGCAATAAAGGGGTCAGAAAAAACATAAAATGGGAGTTGAAACCAGAGGCTCGACTTTTAGAGCTGAGATTGTGATCAAGAGCTCATCCCTGCCCCTCGACCTGCCAGGAACATAACGTGGAAAAAGCTCCCTGTGAGCACAGAGCAGCTCTGGAGGAGGCCCCAGAGGCACACATTAAACCCATGAAAAATCCCCCGAAACTCCCAATCCCCCTGGAGCTGGAAAAAGGTGGAAAACACAAGCCACGACTGACTTTCCCTCCACTGAAATCTGGGAAGAAGCCACAGGAGGCCACACAGTTCGTGTTTCCAGGTGCTTAGGGAAGAGCTGCCTACTGACTTCCTAAAACCTCCAGAGGTCTCAGGAAGCTCCACTCTAATTTGGGAAAATGTTGTTACGTGCAAATAATGTTACATAAATGTGGGAATAACCCACAGGCTGCTTGGATGTCTACTGGGATGGCCCCACAGGATCTGGGAGTGCTGGAAAAACAAGGGATGTCACTGAAGGGAAAACCAGGGATGTCAGCAAAGGGAAAATGAGGGATGTCACCACCACAGCGGGGGGAGATGCTCTTGGAGGTCTCCTTCACTTTTCCAGCAGCCTCTCCTGATGGATCATCCTGCTCCAGTGGCTCCGTTGGCTTTCTGGCAAGATCAGAGCCACATCTCCCACATTCCCAGAAATGTTCTATCCCAGCAGAGACACTTCCCACTCCAGTGAGATTCTCCTGACACAATGGAAGGCCTCAGCCCTCTGACTCCTGCGCAGTCTCTCCATTAAATTTTTCCCTGGATAAATCTGCATGTTTCACACCCAGCCCTTTACCAAGGAGTTTCCATGGGCTGCAGACTTGTGAGTTTTTCCCTTGATTCTAAATTACCCAAACACTTCCTGAGCACTGGTACAGACAGGGGTGAAGCTCCCATCACCTCCACACTCATTAATTAAAAATCCATCCTCTATTCTGCCTGGATTCTACCTAGAATGGTTGCTTTCTCTTTTGGACTTGCATTCACCATCACCAATATTTAGCAAAAAAAATAACTAATTGATGGATTTTAATTTTGGCTGAAATAAGCATGGACAGAGGGGATGGCAGCTTCACCCTGGGGCAGGTGGAGCTCCCATATCTGCGGCTCCCACATCCCCTCCAGAGCGAGCTCGTGCCCACAGAGTCACTGGTTTGGATTCCCACCAGTTTGAACCTCACCACCAGCCTTCCCTTCGGAATGTGATTTTTATTCCTGAAAACCCTAACAGATTGGCCTGAAGCAAACAAAATATCCCGAGAAGGAAACCCAGAGCGTGTCCAGGCAGGACAAAGCTGGATTTGAGCCCGGCAGCTCCAGGCCCCTCGAGGGGTTCCTGACACCCCAAAACCCCCGCAGGGGATCCACCCCGGCCCCGGGGGACACAGGGAATCGCAGCACGGGCAAATCCAGGTGGATTTGTTCCAGCAGCTGCCAAAGGTCGGCCGTGAGGCGTTGCACAGACGGGATCGCTCCCGACCAGGAAAAGAGTGACAGATGTGGTGCCATCACGGCCTGGCTCCTCCCTGGCACCATCCAGCGCTGCTGACGTGTTGGGATGGACCTGCTGCTCCTCACGGTGTCCCCTCGGCTGGGGACGCATCCTGGAGCCAGCCCTTCCCAAAATCAGCCCAGGGTTCTCCCAGCACGAGGATCGGAGGGATTTTAAGGCTGTCAATGTGATGGAATAAAGGATGTGGGATTTGCTCCTGGAATTCAATGTGGGTGCTTGGAGGCGACTTCAGCTTGGAGAAAAGGTGGTTTAGGATTTAAAATCGGCGAGGAGGAAGAGGGAGAAACACACCAAGGATAGTGGGAGGCTCTGGGTGGGTTTCAGGGTGGAGAATTAAGGAGGTGGCAGGAGGGTCCCCTCCAGCCCTGCCAGGCCTCCCTGGGCCGGTCAGCCGGGGACAGAACGGTCCCACCCACGGTGTCACACCCGGTGACAGGAGGACTTTGGTGACAGCAGAGCCCCACCCAGTCCTGTCACACACCCGGCGACAACAGGACCTCACTGAGCAGGGTCACCTCGGACAGGAGGGCTGCCCGGTGCTGTCACACACCCGGTGACAGGAGGAGCTCCCTGTCCCCAAACTCCTGGGGACAGGAGGGTTCCCCCCGCCCTGTGACACCCCCGGTGAGGGGGGGAACCCCCCAGAGCCCGGCCCGGCCACAGGCACAGCGGGGCCTCCCGAGCCACAGGAGCCCCGGGGCCCGTCACACACCGGCACAGCCGGTGACAGCGGGGCCAAACCGGAGCCCGGGGCCGGGGGGGTGACCCCGGCCCAGCCAGAGGCCCAGGGACAGCGGGGGCTCACCGGACACACGGACACGGGAGAACCCCTCGGGCCTGTCACCCACGCCCGGTGACAGCGGGGGCTCAGCGGGCCCGGCCGCACGGTGCCCGGAGCTGCCCCGGCCGGGCCGGGCGGGACCCACGGCCCCACAACGGCCGGGCCCTTTCGGTCCGGTCCCCCCCCGCCCCGCCCGGTGCTGCCGTCACCTGCCGCCGCTGCCGCTCCTCCGGGCCTTGGCGCGGCGCCGCGGGGCCTCCCCGTCCTTCCCGCCGGGCCGCAGCGAGGCGTAACCGTGCTCGGCTTCTGCGGAGACACAACGGCGGGCGCGGGTCACCGCGGGGCCCGCCCGGGGACACCGGGGGTACCGGGAGGGGCGCGGGGGGTACCTCGCTCCCGCCGCTCCAGGAACTCGGCGGCCTCCAGCAGCATCTGGATGCCGAGGCGGGGGGGGGCGGCCATGGCGGGGCCGGGACGGGCCGCGACCGGCGGCGGGGGGGGAGCGGCGGCCTCTGCCCGCCCCGAGCGCCGCTCCGCCAGACCCCGCGCGCGCCACGCCCCCGCCGCCCCTCATTGGCGGATGCTGAGAGAGGCCCCGCCCCTCACCGCCGCTGATTGGAGGACGAGGCAGAGGTCCCGCCCAGCGCCTCCACGAGCGGCGGAGCGGGGGCGTGGCCGCGCCTGAGGACACGCCCCCCCACTCGCTGCCATTGGACGAGAGCGCCACGCCCTCCTGCCATTGGCCCGGCCCCCGGCGGCGCCCCGCCCACACAACCGGCCCCGCCCTGCCGGCCGCACGCGCTGCCCTGACTCACTTCCTGCCGCTCAGCCAATGGCGAGGCCGGACGGGGAAAGGGGCGGGGCCACGGCTACGTGAGGAAACGTAACCGCGGCGGGGACCCCCGGACAGAGCCCCGGGATGGGAACAGGGACCCCCGGGATGGGAACAGGGACCCCGGGATGGGGACAGGGACCCCCGGACAGAGCCCCGGGATGGGAACAGGGACCCCCCGGGATGGGGACAGGGACCCCCGGGATGGGGACAGGGACCCCGGGATGGGAACAGGGACCCCCGGGATGGGGACAGGGACCCCGGGATGGGAACAGGGACCCCCGGGATGGGGACAGGGACCCCCGGACAGAGCCCCGGGATGGGGACAGAGCCCCTGGGAACGCCCCGGACAGGGACCAAACTGATAATGGGGTGAGGTTGAGGGAGGAAGAACGACCCCCCTGCCGAGCACCTTCGGTTTCAGCTCAGGGCTCAAACGGGGCCCTACGGGATTGAGCTGATCTCTGTCAATTCCAAGGATTTGTGGGAGGGGGAACTGAGGCCCTGCTTTATTTCTGAATGATAAAAATTAAAGGAAAAAATACATCTGGGGTTTTATTAACAGGGAAACACACCAAAAAACAGGGAAAACACAGCAAAATCCCAGCCAGAAACTGACTTCTTTTGTAAAAAAAATAATAACAGAAGTTTGGGAAATGGAAACTCCTGATGGCTCTGGCTGTGGAATTTGTTGGGAATAACACCAATTCCAAATCCAGCATCAGAGCTCTCCCAGGAGAGTGCAGGGAAGCGAAATTCTTCCGTGGTGGGAGTCGTGTCCCAGTGTCAGGCGATGAAATCCAGGGGCCTGTTGAATCCTCCTTTTCTGTTCATGTATTGCCTGGGTGAGGACAGAGCCAGAGTCAGCCCTGGGATCCAGGGAAATCAGGACAAAAGAACTGGGGGAGGCTGGGAACGCGGCTCAGTGGCTAACTGAACCCAATTCCCCATGGATTTAACCAAAAATGGGGCAGGGAGGCTCCCGGTGAGGATGCCAGGCTCCCATCAGAAGGGGAGCAGAATTGACAAACTGGGTGTTTTTTGGGAATAAACCAGGTGAACAGTGTCGCTTCCTGCTGCTCTGATCCTGTTCAGGCCTCACTGGGCACATCCCACCTCTTCCCAACGTGCTCCCCACTCCTCATCCTCCTGACTTCTCTGTTCCCAGGGACTGGAGAACTCTCACCTCTGCTTTTGAGCCTAAACCTCACAAAATTTCTGTTTTCCCCAGGCCTGGAAGCTGGACCACCGTGAGACAGCGGCCAGAGTTACCTCACAAAATCAAATCTTTCTATCCCAAAGCAGGGGACACACACCTGTACTTCCTCTTCTGGGACACATTGATGGCGTAGGCATTGGCAGCGCCATCCACCTTCTTCCCCTGAGGAGAAACGTCCCAAAATCTCATGGGTTACCCCCAAACAGGGCAGGTGACACCGCAGAGCCCCTGGAGTGGCCTCTGGTCTGTGCTCACCTTGGTGGTATCAAAGGAGGCAAAACCCATCATCTTCATCATCTCGATCTCCTCCTCTGTCTTGCCCTGCAAATCCTCCTCTTTGGGAAGAGTCAGGGATTGAGCAAACACAGACGTTGGGATTCCCAATAATCTGGGTGGTCCTGGGCTGGTCCTGGCCCTGCAGGGCATCTGGGAGCGTTCCAAGAGGAAAATTCCCCCTCACCTGTGATCTGCCGCTCCTTCTTGGAGTCCTTGAGCTCCTTCTTCTCCTCATCCCGACGCTCCTTGGGCCGTGCCGGTGACGAGGAGCTGGAGCGGTGCCGGCGTGGGGACCTGCTGGGGCACACGAGGTGGGGCTGCAATTCCCACCTGGGGCTCCCATTGTCCCTGGGTCACCCAGGATGCCCTCAGCTAGCTATCCCCACCCCATGCTGGTGTCCCTCCCCTTACCTGGATCATCCTGAATGTCCCTGCCACACCTGGATCATCCTGGATCATCCCTGCCCTCACTTGGATCATCCTGAATGTCCGTGCCACACCTGGATCATCCTGAATGTCCCTGCCACACCTGGATCATCCTGGATCATCCCTGCCCTCACCTGGTTCTTCCTGAATGTTCCTGCCCACACCTGGATCATCCTGAATGTTCCTGCCCTCACCTGGATCTTCCTGAATGTTCCTGCCCACACCTGGATTATCTCTGCCCTCACCTGGATCTTCCTGAATGTCCCTGCCCTCACCTGGATCATCCCTGCCCTCACCTGGATCGTCTCCGGTGCGGGGAGCGGGACCGGCTCCTCCTCCTGTCCCTGTCCCGGGACCGTGATCGCTCTCGCCGCCGCCTGTCCCTGTCCCGGGAAGCGGAGCGCGAGCGCCGGCGCTCTGCCCGGGGAAGGGTCAGCTCCTGCATCCCTGCCCGCTTCCCAAAGGAAATCCCACAGAAAATCCCAGCTCCGGAGTGGAGAACCCCGGGACAGCCCTACCCACCCCTCCAGGACAGTTCTGGGCTCGGGGATCCCTCCGGGCACCCCCAGCAGTGAAAGAGCGGCTGGAAAAAACCAGGAGGGGGTGATGGTCCCCAAAAACCTGAGGAACGGGGAGGGAGGAGAGGAGGAGAAGATAAGGATGGGGAGGGGGAGGAAAAGGAGAGGAGGAGAAGGAGAGGAGGAGAAAAAAGAAGGAAAAGGAGAAGGATGAAGCCGAGAAGAGGAGAAGGAAAAGAAAAAGGAGGAGGAGGAAGAGGAGGATGAGGGAGTCTCTGCTCTACCCCAGAGTGAGGAACCGGGGCCCCCCCGCCCTGGAGGGTCTCAGTCCCCCCCCCTACCGCTGGCCCTTCCCCCGGATCTCCCCGGGCCCGTCCCCCCGGTGCCCCCTCACCGTCCCCGGGCTCCCCCATCCCACCCCGGTTCCCCCGGTGCCCCCTCACCGTCCCCGGGCTCCCCCATCCCACCCCGGTTCCCCCGGTTCCCCCGGTGCCCCCTCACCCCGCCGCGGCGGTGACCGGGAGCGGCTGCGGCCCATGGCCGCCCCTCAGCCCCGCGCTGCCGCTGCCGGAGCGGGGCCGGGCCCGGAGCGGGGCCGGGGGGCAGAGCCCGGGGGGCAGAGCCTGAGGGGAGCGCTCAGAACCGCATGGGGACGCGGGGCCCCGCTCCCGCCGCTCGCCCTGGGAGCCCGCTCGGCCCGGAGAGCCACGGGAGGCCGGGGAGGAAGGGGAGGCCCGGGAGGAAGGGGCGGGCAGGGAGGCGGGCCCGGCTCCCTCCGCAGCCTCGGTCCGTGCGCTCTGTCCTGCCCGGCCCGGCCCGGCCCTTCCGCGGCCCCGGCGTCGGTTCGGTTCAGGCAGGCGGGTGCGGGTCGGTGCCGGGCCGGGGAGCAGCCTGGAGCCCTGGGGCTGTGCCTGCGTTTGGCACTGGGGGGGTTCAGGAGGAGCTTCTCTAAGAAGCTGCTGGAACCTTCCCGGTGTCCGGCGCACCCGGTGCCAGCGGCTCCGGGACTCCTCAGTGAGGGCACTGAATCGGGGAGTGCCGTTCCCGAACCGTGACGCCATGGTTCCTCATGGACATCCTCACCCTGAGCGCCATCCCTGTCCCATTCCCACCTCCGCTCCCATCCCCATCCCACCCTCAGCTCCCCCTCCGTCCCTGCCCCTGCTCCATCCCCATCTCATCTCCACATCCTCCATCCCCATCTCATCTCCACATCCTCCATCCCCATCTCATCTCCACATCCTCCATCCCCATCCCCATCTCATCTCCACATCCTCCATCCCCATCTCATCTCCACATCCTCCATCCCCATTTCATCTCCACATCCTCCATCCCCATCCCTCGCCCCTCAGTCTCCGAGCGCTACCGAGTGCCAAACACGGGGTTTATTTACACCGGCGTTCCACCCGCTCCCGGCCGCGATTGTCACACGCGGGGGGGACAAGTCACCCCCGGCCTCCTCCCGGTGCCACTCGGGCTCCAACACCCGCCCGGCTCCGGGGCCTTCCTGGGCAGCCCCCGGTGGGAGGAGAGCCGCTGAGTCCCGCTGGACTCGCCCTTCCCTGTTGCCAGCAAGGGATCAGCCTCTGTTTTCCAGCAGAGGTGCAGATGTGGAGGCCCCAGATCAGGGATTTGTCCCCTCCCTGCCTTCCCTTGGGGACACCCCCGCCCTGAGCCTTACCTGGGGCAGGGAGGTGGGGGAAGTACCCGAAGGGTGGTCCCGGGATGTGATCCTGGCTGTTTCCTTCCAGCCAGGACCCTCGTCATGGTGATGATGGTGGCACTGGAGCCTTCATCCCTTTCTACTTGAAGCTCCCCAGAATTTCATGGAGGAGAATCCCAGGGTCCCCTGCAAAGCCAGGGGCCCTTGGAAAAAAGGGTGACAAAGGCCCTGGGGACAGACCTCCAGGGACAAAGGGGTGACAAAACCCTGGGGGAAGCCCCTGAGTTGGGCTGGGCTTGTGGCAGTGCTGGAACAGTGCTACGCTGTCACCCGGAGAGGTGACAGAGCTGGCTCTGCTGCCCTGGGTCACCCAGGGGGAACAGGCCCAGGGACAAAAATGGCCTCAAAGAGTCTCAAGATCAGTGGCAGTGAGGAACAGCCCCCCAGTGACAAGGCTGGGGGCGCAGAGGGGGTTTAGGGGCTCAGTGTCCCCTCGGTGCTCCCCATCCTGCAGGAGTGGGCTGGGGACCTGTGGGGGGGACACTGGGCAGGGAAAAGGCTCTTCCCAAAATCCAGGCTCAGGCTGTCCATGGGGCTCTGGCAAGATCCCTGTCTGGGGTGTCTCTGCTGTTTCCTGCACCCCAATCCCTGCCTGCACCCCCTTATTCCATGGGCTTCCTGCTCTTCCAGATGGATCCAGCCCCCAGGAGCTGTCTCACAGCAGTGAGAAGGTTTGAAACCACAGTGATGGGAAAATCCTGCTGGGCTGAGGGAACCCCGAACAGGAGCTTCTGGAGCATTCCAGACCTCCTGGACAGGGCTCCATGGATGCAGGAAGGCTCAGGGCGAGCACCCCAGGAAATCGGGAGGATGTGGGGCTGATCCTTTTGATTTATCCCCAAATCCCAGCCCTGGAATGGCTGTGGGGAACATCAGCATGGCTGGGGCTCTTCCCGGGAAGGGGCTGGCCAGGAGTTTGTAAGGCTGGGAGGGAAGGGAACGCCAGGAAGGGTTGAACTTGTGCTGGGAATCCAGAGCTGGGAAAAGCAGGGAGCCGGCGCGGACGGGGTCACTGTGAGCGGAGGCCGGCGGGAATTGGCAGCGTGTGTTCATCCCGAAGTAGCACTTAGTGAGTGAGTTTTGCTTAGTTTTAAATTACACAGACAATTCCCGGAGGTTTGTTTCCCTATTTTCCCAGGTGCAGGTCGTGCAGTGAGGTGGGGGTTTTTCCAGTGGTGGGAAATCCCGCTGCTCTTCCTTGGGTGGGGAAAACACAGGGTAGGAGTACCAGGAGAAGGGGATGAAGTGGTTCTTTAGCCCAAGGAGAGGAAGATTACAATCTGGGAAGGAAAAAACCTCAGCTTCTCCTTCAGGAAAAGCAATCCCCTGCCTTCAGCTCAATCCCATTCTCCTGGTGAAGCAACGGACAGTTTTCCCTGGGGATGAAGCCAGCGCCGTTCCAGCAGAGCTTGAGACAGAAGGTGAAGAAAATAACCACAAAACACCTTTTTCTTCCTCAGATCAAGCAGAACTGGGCTCTGGTGGAAAAAACCCAACCCTCGGCCCACGGTGGGGAGAGGCTGGAGCCCAGGAGGGAAAGGGGGGGAAGATGCAGCAGGAATTCCCCCAAACGGGGACCACAGTCTCTCTAAGCTCGGTGACCGCCTCCAGAGGCGGGTGACAAGGGGGATGAGGTGCCTTGTGCCGGGAGGACCTGGAAAACAGCCGGATTCCAGGGGTTTTGGGCCGCGCCTCGGCCAGACGCACGAGGCAGGAGCTGCCCCGGCGCTCCCGGGCTCAGAGATCCCAGGGGTTCCCAGGATGGCCACGCACGAGGCCTTGGGAGACTCAGGATTCGATCTTTTCCTTCTTTTTGCCTTTTTTCAGGAACGATGGGGTCCGGAATTTCTTCTTCTTTTTGGAGGGCGATTTGGAGGGTGAACCATCCGGGGACACAGGGTTGCTGGTCACTGTCTCCTTCTCCTTGGGGGCGTCCTGGTCAGCGTTGGTGGTTGTCCGGTCCGTCCCCCCTTTTCCAAGGTTTTCCTCCGTGCTTTGCTCTTCATCCTTCCCGTTCACCACCGCTGGTGGCTCCTTCTTGGCGGTGGAGTCAGGGGGGGCTTGGCCACCATCGGCCTTCTTATCACCTTGGGAAAGGGAGAGGGAGCAGGGAATTAGGGCAGCAGCCTCAGTGTTGTGGGGGTGGTTTAACCCCCCAAATGTCCAGTGGGGCCTGGGCAGGAGCAGGATTTGGCCTCCATGAGTGGAGAACGTTGGGATTTGATCCTGTCCTGCTGCAGGCACCGCTTCCTTGAGCCGCCCCCCTCCCTGCGGGACAAGCGATGTGGGATGGAGAGCCGGGAAGAGGCAGCAGGAAAAGCAGGAAGCAACAACAAGGAGGGATTCCCAAGGGATTTCCTAAGGAATTTGCCCCGAGTGGGGCTGGAGTGGGCCATGGAGACTGGATCCCCCCGAGCCCGTGTCCCTCGTCCGGGGTGGCCTCTCCGTACTTACTACGGCGCCAGGGATTCAGGGATAACTCCTTGGGTGACAGGCACACGGGGAGGAAAGAGAAAGGAGACGTTGTGGAGACAGACACAGACAGACAGACAGACAGACACCACAGACACCATGGCAGAGCCAGCAGCCCCGAGCCGTGCCCCGGCACCCACTGTGGATGGGAACAGGGGGAACATCACGGAGCGTGAGGACTGGGATGGGGGACAGGGGTGTCCCCCTGCACCCCACAAAGCCACCAGCAGATCCTCCTGCCGTGAATCCACATCCACTTGGCCCCTGTGGATCGGGGACCCCCCGGGACAGGCGGGGGGACAAGAGGTGACAGCGAGCTGCGTCTCAGCACGGTCTGGCCACAGCAGCCCTCGTCCCCCCACTCCTGCTGCTCACCGGGACCCCACCCCTCGTTTTGGGGTGCTCATCACCCCACTCACCCTCGGTGGGCTCTGCAGGTGCCGGGGGCTCCGGAGGGAGTGCCTCTGTGGGGGGAGCCTCACTCTCCTCTGCTGCCGCGTCCCTCTCGCCTGCCACAGAGAGACACGCTGGCCCCGCGTCCCCTCAGTGCCACCCGGGGGGGTTTGGGGGTGTCGGGGTGTCTCTCCTACCCTGCAGGCGCTTCTTCCTCTCCACCTCCTGCTTGTACTCCTCCAGCTCCTGGTCTGTGAGCTGGCTGAAGGGGTTGGGGGGCTCTGGCTCAGGGGGAGCCTCTTCCTGACCCTCCTTGGCCTCTGCGTCCCCCAGGTGGCTCTCGGTGGACTGAAACAGACCCCCAGAGTGGTGTCACCCCCCGGAGCAGTGTCAACTCCCCCTGGAGAGATGTCACCCCTCAGAGTGGTGTCACACCCTCTGGAACCGTGTCAACATCCCCACACCCCACCCCAAGCAGTGTCAACCCCACTGGAGCAGTGTCCCCAGCTCTGAGCAGTGTCCCCAGCTCTGAGCAGTGTCCCCTCTGCCCTTGGAGTGGTGTCACTGCCCCTGGACCTGTGGGATGCTGGGGAACCAGGGAAGGGCTGGGTTCTCTGGGGTGGGGGCTTGGGACTGGGCGTGTGGGGTGATGAGGGGCTTGGGACAAGAGGTGACATGGGGTGATATTGGCCTGGGGACATGGGGTGACACCAGGTGGCACAGGCTGTGGGCAGGGGACACGGGGTGTCTGTCACAGGGCTGGGGATGCAGGGCTGGGGACACAGGGTGACACAGGGTGACACAGGGTGACACAGGTGCCGTACGGGGCTGCGGCTCGTCTCGGCAATGACACTGGCCAGCAGCTGCGACTGGGGCCCGGCTGACTTCACATCCTGGCGGTTTTGCTCCCGGATCTGTGGGTGAGGACAGGGATAAATCCCCCTCCGAGGACAGGGATAACCCACCCCAGCACCCCGGGCCCCCCCTGTCCCCCAGCCCACACCACCTTGTTGCGCATCTCCAGCACCTCCTGCGGGTCCGTGTAGAGCGGCACGAACTGGTTGGGGTTCTCGATGCGGATCGGGGTCCCACTGCTGCCCTTCTCCACCTCGTCTGCTCGCAGCCACTGCAAACCCAGGAAAAGTGTTTGGGAAGCAGGAGACCCCGAGGACAGAAGGGGAACCCTGACAAATGCGACTTGTATAGAGGGGAGACCCTGATAGTAAAGCAGAGACTCCAGTAAATGTAACATAGAGAGAGACCCCAATAAATGAGGAGACCCCAATAAATGAGGAGACCCCAATAAATGAGGAGACCCCAATAAATGCATCTTGCACAGAGGAAATGCCCTGATAAAGCTGATGGCACTCAGCCCCAGTAGGGTGGGGTGGTGGGATTTGGAAACAATCATTATTACAGGGTGAAGGTGGTCCCTAGGCCTCCCTACACCTCAGATTTTAGCGGGATCCATAACCAGGACACTCTCCACCTCCCTGGTTGTGGATCCCCAAGCCCCATCTGCCCCTCACCGTGGTCTTTGTCCGCTGGCCACCGGCGGTGCCCTGCTGCTCCTCGGCCAGGTTGACCCTGGTGTAGGTGTTGGGGGTGTTGAGCCACCTCGTCTTCTCCTTCTGCTGCTTCTGGGCGTGCTGGCGCAGGGCGGGGGTCCCGGTGGGCTCGTCCTCGAACACGAAGGCCGTCACGGTGGCGGGGATCAGCACGTCGCTCTTGGGCTTGCTCTTCTCCTGCACGAAGGGGTAGCGGTACGTGTAGCCCGTGCGGTATCCCTGGAAAAGCACAGAGCGGGGAGTCAGGCACGCGGGGATAAACCCAGGGGGGGTCGGAGCGCGTTTTGGGGCAGGTTGGGTGGGTTTTGGCGCTCACCAGGTTGTCCAACATCCTCATGAGGGCCTCGAACTCGTGCTCGCCCAGGCGGCTCTTGTGCAGGGGCCCGAAGGTGGTGCCGGCGCGGCGCACGGCGCCCAGGCCGTGGGGCACGCGCTGCTGCGCCCGCTCCAGCACAATCAGGTTCTCCGCGCCTCCCGCGCTCGCCAGAGCCGACACCTGCGGGACAGCGGGCACCGCTGAGCTGGGGACACCGGGGGACAGCCCCACAGCCACCCCGAGAGCCAGAGCTGGCACACGGGGGAGTAACGGGGCTGAGACCTGGCACAGCTCAGTGCACTGGGACAGCTGCAAGGACCTGGCACAGCTCAGTCCATGGTCACTGCTCTGGCTGCAAGGACCTGGCACAGCTCGGTCCATGGTCACTGGGACAGCTGCAAGGACCTGGCACAGCTCAGTGCATGGTCACTGGGACAGCTGCAAGGACCTGGCACAGCTCAGTGGATGGTCACTGGGATGGATGCAGAGACCTGGCACAGCTCAGTGAATGCTCCTGCAGTTTCTGGGTCCATCCACAGTTTATCACTCGCCTCACACTCACCTGGACCTCGCAGGCCGCCTGCAGGTGGAAGATGCTGTAGAAAGCCTCCTCGGCCGTGTCCCCCAGTGCCAGCACCCCGTGGTTCCGCAGCACCAGGATCTGCAGTGCCAGCGCGGGATGTCAGTGGGACAGGCAGGGGATGATGGGGTGACCCCCCTGTCCCCCCCAGGAGTCCCCTCACCTTGCAGGTAGGCCCGAGGCACTTCTGGAGCTCCACACGATCGGCCTCATCCTCCACCTCCCCGCGGAAGTCAAAGTAGGCCACGTCCCCCAGGAGAAGAGCGGCGCGGGAGATGGGCAGGAGCCCACAGCGCATGGCTGACACCTGGGCGTGGGGGGGAACAGGGCAGGGGGCCGAGCAACCCCAACAGCCCCAGAAAACACCAACACCCCAAAAACCCCCACAAAAAACCCAACCCTTCTCCAAAAAACCCATAACCCCCCCAAAAAATCACCCTAAAAATCCCCAACCCCATAAACCACTCCAACCCCACCAAATCCCTCCATAACCAACTCCCTAAATTTCCCCTAACTCTTCAACTCCCAGAATCCCAAAATGAACTGCCCCCAAAGAGCCCCAACCCCCCAAAACCCCCCATCATCCTGATCATCCCAACACTTCGTGTTGCCCCCCAAAATCTCCCAAACCCCTTCAAACTCTCAAGGAACCCAAGTCCTTTCCAGTCCCCCCAAACCCCAAATCCTCCAACCCCTCCAAAACACCCTTCCATTCTCCCAAATCCCAGACCCAACCTCCCACACAGGCCCCCAAGTTCCCCTAACCCCCAAGCCCCCCAAATCCCCCCAAACCAAGCTCCCAGAGAAGCCCCCATCTCCCCCAGCCCGGTTCCCGGCCCGTACAGCGGCAGCAGCAGGGGTGTGCAGCCGCACGATGCAGCGGATGTCGGGGCGCGCGGCGTAGATCGCGGCGTGCAGGCTGAAGCTGCGGGCGTCGGGCGCGAAGCTGGTGCTGCCCTGCTCCACCACGGCCCCCAGCACGTTCACCTTCACCTGGGGGGCCACAGGGGGCTCAGGGGGGGCTGCTCCCCCCCAGGCAGCCCCGGGGAGGGGGGAGGCAGGGGGCTCACCAGGCTGGCCGCTGTCACCTCGCTGCACGCCAGCCCCTGCGGGGCCACCAAGAAGTGCTCCTGCTCCTTGCTGACCCGCAGCTGCCACGGGGGAGAGTGGGATGAGAAACACCCCAAAAAAATCCCCAAATAAACGCCCCCATCTCTACAGGTCCAGCAGGTCCCAACTCCGCCACAAAAAAACACCAAACCCCTTAAAATCCCCCCCAAAGAACCCTGAATAGCCTCAAAATCCTTTCCAGTCCTCCCATTCGCACTCTGCTGGTTTTGAGGTGCTCACAGGGTTAGGGTTTAATTGTGCCCAGCCTGTACAGGTCCAGCAGCAAAAGGCCCCTAACCCCCCCAAATCCCCCCAAGACAACCCCTTATGGCGGTCTTGGCGTGCTCACGGTGACGGCGGCGTGTCCCAGCTGTGCCCAGCCGTACAGGTCCAGCAGCCGGTGGATGCTGCCCACCTTGCAGCGCATCAGCCGCTCGCCCTTGGCCAGTGCCGGCCCCTCCGTCCCGTGCAGGTCATTGATGGGGGTGACCGATGCCAGCCCTGGGGATTGGGGACCTCCCATCAGCGGTGGGACCCCCCAAGCCACGCGAGGTTCACCAGGGACGGGGGAGTACAGGGTTGTGGGAATGGGCTTGGTGGCTGTCAAGGTTTGATGGATCCAAAGGTTTGTTGGACATCGAGATTTGGTGGCCCCAAAAGCTCTGGGGGTCCCCAAAGCCTCAAAGGTTTGGTGGTCCCCCAGGTTTGATGGCCACAAAGATTTGGTGGTCCTCAAAGGGTTTGGGGGATCCCAGGGGCTTGGTGGCACCCCAAGATCCCAAAGAGCTGATGATTCCAAAGGTTTGGGAGTCACCAAGATCTCAAAAGTTTAGGGTCCCCCCAAAGGTTTTCGGGGTCCTCAAGATCCCAAAGGTTTGGTGGTCCCAAATAATTTGATGCCCCTGAAGGTCCAAAGGTTTTTGTGTCCCCAGCGAAGATTCCAAGGTTGCAGAGATTTGGTGTCCCCCAAGGTTTTGGGGCTTACCCCACCGCACCCCCCTCAATGAAACCCTTCATGAGCATCCCCAAACCGCCCCGTCCCCAGCCCCACGTACCCATGGGGGACGTGGGCAGGGCAGCAGGGGACGTGGTGGCCATGAAGTCAGCGATCTGCCGCAGCGCCCACACGTGTGACGAGTTGTTCCCCTTCTTCATCTGCTCCTGGATCAGGCTCTCCAGCTCCTCCCGGAAGGACTGCGGCACCGGGGACAGGGTGACAACAGGGTGGGTGGGACAGCTGGAGACATCGGGGCAGGGGCAGCACCGCTGGCTCGGTGGAAGTGGCACTGCTGGCTTGGTGGCACTGGCAGTTTGGTGTCAGGGACACCATCACCTTGGTGGCATGGCAGTGGTGGCACTGCCAGCTTGGTGACATGGTGATGGTGGCACTGCTGACTTGGTATCAGTGGTACCAACAGTTTGGTGGCTCACTGGTGGTGCCAGCATCACCAGCTTGGTGGCAGCATCACCACTGGCTTGGTGGCACAGTGGTGACGGTGGCATTACCATCTTGGTGTCAGTGACACCAGCGGCGCTGGCAGCTCCGTGACAGCAGCGCCGTGGTGGCAGTGACATTGCCAGGTGGGGACATGCACCACCATGTGGTGACATCTCTTAGCTTGGGGACAGGAGGGATGGGGCGGGGACAACAAAGGATGGGGCCAGGGACGAGAAAGCTGGGGCTGGCGACAGGAGAGACGGGATTTGGGCCAGGAGGGATGGGTTGGGGGACGTAAAGGAAGATGCTGGGGACACGAAGGACAGGGCTTGGGGACAGATGGGACGGAGGTGGAGACAGGCGGGAGGGGGTTGGAGACAGGCGGGACGGGGACAAGAGAGGAGTTGGGGACACAGGGCTGGCGCGGGGCCGGGGGCTCACCGGGCTCTGCAGGATCATCGTCACCCGCTTCTTCTGCTCCATCAGGTTGAAGTCCTGGCGCAGGTCCCCGGCCCCGCTCCGCGCCCGCAGGAACTCGGGGTCCTCCTGGGGGGGGCAGCGGGGCCCGGGGGCGGGGGGCTCGGGCAGGGGCTCGGGGCTGGCGGCCGTGCTCATCCTGGGGACGCGGGGACAAGCGGCGTCACCCCCGGCACCCCCAGATTGGGGAGAAAGCACCGAAAACAGCGCCCGGCTGTGGCCGGCAGATAACGCCCGAGGGGCCCCCGCCCTGCCCGGCGCCCTGCGGGGACCAGGGGACAGGCTGGGGACACTCGGGGGGCGGGGGGGGAGTCCCCCGCTGGTGGCACTGCCCAGGCTGGGTGACACGGCTGAGGTCACAGCTGGGAACCGGCACGGTTCGGCACAGATGGGAGCTGAGAACCGGCACGGTTCGGCACAGATGGGAGCTGAGAACCGGCACGGTTCGGAACACGGATGGGAGCTGGGAACCGGCACGGTTCGGCACACGGATGGGAGCTGGGAACCGGCACGGTTCGGAACACGGATGGGAGCTGGGAACGGGCACGGCTCGGAACACGGATGGGAGCTGGGAACCGGCACGGTTCGGCACAGGGATGGGAGCTGGGAACGGGCACGGTTCGGAACAGGGACGAGCTGGGAACCGGCACGGTTCGGAACAGGGATGGGAACCGGCACGGTTCGGCACAGGGATGGGAACCGGCACGGTTCGGCACAGGGATGGGAACCGGCACGGTTCGGAACAGGGATGGGAACCGGCACGGTTCGGCAGCAGCGGGGCGGTGGCGGAGCACCGGGAGCGCTCGGTCCCTGCCGGGAGCTGAGGACCGGCACAGCTCCGCACACCCCCGGCCGCTCCCCCACGACTCCAGCCCCGAATTGGGGTCACCCACTGCTGGGGGCTCGGTGCCGCTCTGCCGCCGCACGGGGGGGGTTCCCGGCCTCCCCCCGGCCCGCGGACCCCAAAAGGACCCTCCCCTCTCCCCCAGGTCACCGAGCGCTCTGGGTGCTGCTACCAAGGGGCCCCCAACCCAGGGCACCCCCAAAACACAGGGTGGGGCCGCTCCCCCAAATCTCGGGGGTGATTTCCAGTCTCTCCCTCTCTCAGGGCAGAAGGGCACCCCCAGATTTTGGTGCTCGGAGCGCACCTGGCTCACCGGGCAGGGGGGACCAAGGCCGGGATAAATCCGGGGGGGAGCCCGGTGACCCCCGGCCCCGAGCAGCCCTAGGGGAAGGCGGGGGGGGCTCGGGGGGGCTGGACCAGGACCCCCCAGCGGTTCCCCCTCCCAGCATCCCCCCCCACCTCCGCCTCCGCCCTCGCCGCGCCCAGCGCCGCTGCGGCAGCCGCAGGGCGGGGGGGGAAGAGCGAAAACCGGGATGGAAAGCGGGATGCAGCCGGGGGGGGCCGCGGCATCGCCCCCACCCGGGGGTGGGGATGGGGGGAGGGATGGACTCGGGTACCACCGAGGATGAAGGCCTGGGAAAGGGGGGAGGGGTGGGATGCAGCCCCCCCACACCTGCATGCGGCCAGCTGGGGGTGGGGTGAGGAAAAGCTGGGGGGTCACCCAGCCTCCCCCCACCCTCCCCAAATCCCCCCCTCACCCCCGAGGGATGCTGCGGCCGGGGGCTGCTGCCATCACCCACCTTCCTCCTCCTCCTCAGAGCATCCTGACAAAGGGCCGCCCCCCCCCGC